CTTAGACAAATGCGATCACACTTCTTAGCCTTTCTGTGGGCAAACAAGCGGGAGCGGCTCCGCCATCAGATACTCTCCAGACCTCGAACAGCGGGGGGATTGAGCTTCCCAGACCCTGCTCTTTACTATAGAGCGTCCCACCTATCGGTCGTTATGGACTGGTGTTGTAATGCGAACCAGAAACTATGGGTGATCTTGGAACAGGAAGACTGCCCATGGCCGTTGCATGGCATCCCATGGATTGCCCCGAAGTTACCACTTAGACGAACCCACTGGTGCGAGCCACGATGCTAGTAGTGTTCAAGGTATTCCCAGCCCCAGGAATATCTCCATTACCGTCACCCATGACGCCAGTAGTGGGGAGCCCGCACTTCCCTCCGGGTCTACATAATCCATTGGCCAAAGCCCTAGAGACATCAGGGTTGACTAGATTATATCATTTCAGAGACGCAGATCGCTGGAAACAAGTTGCCCAGATGTACGGCGATAAAAAGGTTGGGGAGCACCGGTATAGAGTACCCACGACCCTCCACGTTATGTACCCATCTGTGTCTGAAATTTGTTGGCGATGTGGGGATGAGCCAGGCTCGATATTACATATGTTTTGGTCATGCTCGAAGGTCAGACCTTTCTGGCTCAAGATCGCCACACTGATTGGTAAAATCACGGGCCTCTCGCTGCCGTTCACACCCTCGATGTATCTCATCCACTTGGCTCCCCTTTCACATAAACAATACCGACGCTCATTACTGATCCACCTGCTGAATGCAGCAAGGGCCTGCATTCCGGCCTTATGGAAGAAGGCCGAACAGCCATCGGCAGAGATGTGGGCTAGACGAGTGGAGGAGATTAAGCTGATGGAGGACCTGACCTCCTCCCTGAATGGGACGCAGGCCAATTTTTTTGCTACATGTAGTGCGTGGTACGTGTTCAGGGATTCGGCAGACTTCCGGAATGAGTGCCGGGGCTGAGGCACGAGATGGGATAGCTCCCAATTAGGGACCCTTTTATTCCGCTTTGCTACGACTAGGAGTAATCCAGGCCGGATGACCTGGAATTGACCGACACCTGGGAATTTTTTCCCCTTCTAACCTTATGTGTTCTGTGTTTCACGTTCTTTGTACTGCTCTGTGTTGTGTTATTTTGTTCATATATGTCTACGCCTCCAGAGTGGGCTGGAATGGTGCTGGCCATCCACGTCAGTGGGCTGGACCATACAGTCCGCCGAATGGGGATGTTTCCCTCCTGTTATAAAAATACAAAATTCCTTAGGGGATGAGATGAAGAGAGCTTGATTAAAACCTGAATTGGCAGAATGTACATATACTGTATTCTAAACATGCGTTAGCAATGCTTTAAAAGCTTCCACCGGTTTTTATTAATGTTTTCTTTGCTATTTACTGTCATGAATGCTACTGTCAGGTTTCTACATTTGAACTGTTCCGCGGCCTTGTGGCCCATCCATTTTGATTGTACTCTCTGTATCTCACCTCTCTGTTTATAAATAAAGAATTAAAAAAAAGAAATTAAAAGATGGTATTTTTTTATTTTTTTTTTAATCGAAAAAACAATCGACCAACTAATCGATTATGAAAATGCAGCCCTAGCGCCAGATATACGCTTTTTTTCTCCCTTTTTCGTCTGTCTTTCTTCAAGGCCTTGTTTACACTGTCTGCTTGCGTTTTTATGCGTTTTTATGCAAAGATCTGTCAGGCTGGATGCTTTTTTTAATGCTTCTAAATGCTTAACATGTCACGCACTCTAGCGCGATTATGTGCATATGCTTTTCGATGCATCTGTCCTTTGTCTACTGAAGTAGCCAATGAGATTTCAGCAAATAGACATTTCTTGTGTTTACATGTGTGTACATGCGGTTTGGTGTCTTTTAGAGGCATTTAGAATCTAAAATTGTTTCCTGGACGCACCTGACTTCTATTTTTCCTAAACATAGCTAAACTGACTGCATCTAAAACGCAAGGTGTGAATGGATGCATTGGGAATCATAAGATGCAATTATATGCATTTAGAAAACCATTAAAAACGCATATAAAAGCACCTAATCGCATGTTCCTATCTATTGTGAAGTAGTTGCAACATGCAGCATTATTCATTATTATTAATAAATCAAATGCCATTAATTTCAATGACACCCCAAACGCATTATCCGCCCGCAGTGCGATTGCCCGCGCTGGAACTTGTGGTACTGCAAAGCCGTGCGTTCCAGTGTGGTGCGATTTACAAAAAATTGTGCATACAGTTTTATTCTGACAAACGTTTATGCACATGCAGATGATGGGGCAGCGGGGCTGGTTTTCATTTTTTCAATTTTTATTTACTTTGTAAAAAATTTTTATTTCCATTTATTTTATTATTTTAACTTTATCGCCTTTTTTAATTTTTTTACATTTTTATTTAGTTACATTTTTAATTAGTTATTTTTTACTTTATTAATATTTTCATTTAACTTTATTGCTATCACACAGGGGATAACAAACCCCTGTGTGATAGCATTTGGAGGTGACAGGTACTCTTTATTGACCCTGTCACCTCCAACACAGCACTGTGCTAGAACTCCTGTGACAAGAACGAGCAGCGGCCGGGAACAGAGGCTGAGGGAGGTGACAGCCTCTCACCACTCCACGCCCCCTGCTCTGTCACCGCCCCCCGCCGTCACCGCTCCACACCCCCTGCTCTCGCTTTCCCGGCGCCCTATATGTCCCGGACGTCGGGCGATACAAATTCAACACCGATGCGCAAGCACTTGTGAAAATGCCTTGCATCGGTCCCGATTCCGATGCTAGCATCGGTATCGGGACATCCCTAGTAATTTCTATCGCTTTTTGAAGGTTCGTTATCCATGATATCTGTGGTAATGGTCCGTGCTATTTATTTGTTAAATAGCATTGAAATAGCATTTAATAATAGGTATTCTGTAATGGTATGAGAAAGCAACACTTTCATTGAGATATGTATATCTCATTGAAAAGTGTTGCTTTGTCATACTATTTCCATTTCTTCTTTTAAACAGGAACTTTACCCATATCTTCAAAATAACAACAAAGGCACCTTTATAAATCTTTAGTAATGACAATCTACAGGCAGATACTTCTAGATAATTGTCAGATTTTTGTTTTTTGCGTACCTTATTTTTCGTTTCTTCCCCAGTCTCCTCACAGTGGCCATTTTAACATACGGGCAGGTAACTAGATCTCCCTTTACTTCCTGGAAATCTGGCACATGTGACTAGGACATGTGACCATGCACATCATCTCAGGGGAGGAAATTGCCTTTCCCTGAGATTTCATGAGATATCCCAGCAATGCACTGCTGATATAACCTTTGCAGGATGCAATGCTTGGACACAATTACATCATTTGTGCCAAAGGGGACCAGGAAATGGGGAAAAAAAGAAATTGTAAGTAAAATAAAAATGTTTTTTTTAGCTAATAAATGTAAGAGGATTTCATATCCGCATACAGAGCTGTATGCTGATGCGATTTTTAGTCAAAGGGGGTAAAGGTCCACTTTAACAATACACTTTTTGTTGTTTTTTTGTAAACCATGTGACACTGATCACTGTTTGGCCGCCTCGATGCTGATTAGCCAGGAAGCCGGCTTCTCAGCCAATCAGCATGGAGCTGGCTTCCCGGCCAATCAGGAAGCTGGAAGGTGGGTCAATACTCGCCGCCCGACTTACTGATTGCCTGGGAAGCCGGCTCCATGTTCCCCTACGGCACTGCCGGTTGGAGGAAACCATTGGATAAAGAGATAATACCTTAGGAAAAAAGTTAGCAGGATTACCACTATCAGTATCTTACTTGAAAGAAAATATCTTTTGGACGGATATGATAACACAACAGGAAAGTATTATTATTTTAGCATTAAAGATTAGCTAAATTCACTCATTTAAATTTACAAAAAACCTGTTTATTAACCCCATTCATGACCAGTGTAAGTCACTGGCATCGGGGACGTTTAAACAGACTCGACTCTGTGTAAACTTGTCAGCTTTACAGTAGGAGCAATTCTGCCGGCTCAGATCATTTCTACAGGCCGGTAAACACCCCCACTGTGGTTCCCGCACTCCGTTTCCCCTCCTACGGGCCCGTGACCGGCTTCTCTGGTGTCGGGGGGTGGGGGAGCTGGGGAGGAGATCAGCGAACCTCTGTTTACCGATCCCCTCCACGTACTATGGGACTAGGAGCGATGCCCAGCAATAAGCTATTGAAGTTCAATCTGCACTTCAATAGCTTATTTCAAGTGTAAAGGTGATACTAGGGGTCTTTTGGACCCCCAGTATCACCTTAAAAGGGTACCTGTCACCACTAATCTGCTATCACATGGGGGGATTGTAAGCCCCTCTATGTGATAGCAATTAATTGGTTAAAACAAGAACACAGCTGCTGCAGCAGCCGTGTTCTTAGTATCGTTTTTAACAGCAGACGATTGCTGTTAATGTACAACCGATCCGGCATCTGTACAGACGACAGATCTTTTGTACCGTGCGATTCGGGGCCACAATACGTCTATAGACAGTGGCCCGTAGAAGTGGTTAAAACAAGAACACAGCTGCTGCAGCAGCCGTGTATGGTATTTTGAAAAACAAATGAAGACCCTATACATGCCAAGCAAAAAATAAATAGTTTTGCTATGCAGCGCTGTTAAAGTTATTGCTGAACAAACATACATTTACCTCCCAGGTTCATGAAATGCCTTAGCATTGAAGAATCATTTTGAAAAAAAAAAGTCAGAAAATATGGAAAAACATGTCCGGGTAAAAAAAAAAAAATATATATATTTTTTTTTTGTCAAATCTGAAAAGCCAGGGTCTCTTTGTTACATGTTTTGCAGTAGGTCGGTAGGTCAGCAGTTCAATTTTCAAACAGATGTTGTATCTGTAAACAAGGAAAGAAGACTTTTTGGATTTCTTAATGAAATCATTTTGACTTTTTCATAAAAATTTTATGTTTTCTAACGATATATTTAACTATTTGTTTTAGATACGTCATTTCAACAGTCAAGTTAAAAATTTATTTGGTGTTCTTAACTTTGAGATAAGTAAGTCTCCAGAAATCATGGGCTCCTCTGTGTTTGGTTTGGATGAAATTTACAAGAAGTGGAAACATTTTGTTCTTGGTAACCAAGCACCAAATGCAGAAAGGGCCAAATTTTACTTTGTAAAGGTATGTACTACATTTAATGTATTGCATTTTTTAAACGTTTTCATAATCCTCTGAAATATCTCAAACCATTACATGTAACTATGCAAATGTGTCTTTTTTTCGTTTTTGAATCTTTTATAGAATGTTTGTTTTAATGTAGTGCCAGTCTGAAAATATGCTGTTTGCTCTTATTTTAGACAGATGTGAAGGGAGCCTATGAAACGATTCCCCATTCAAAGCTCAATGAAGTGATCACAAAAGTTATAAATCCAGACATTGAAGAAGTGTACAGCATACGACGCTATGCCAAGCTATGGATAGATCCAAATGGCCAGATAAGAAAGGCATTCAAACAACACGTAAAAATTATTTATTTGCTATTTTTTGGGGGGGCTTTTACTGTATTGAAATAGACAACTCTGAGTTCAGTAGAAACACTGTTGCCAGGGGCAACATCTGACAACATATAGCTAAAGCCTTTAATAGTGTAGAATGGGATTACTTATGGGCGATACTTACCGCTTTTGGGTTTGGCCCCCAGTTTATCTCGTATATCGAACTGTTGCTATGCTAGTCCATCAGCGAAAGTTCGGGTGAATAACTTTCCTCCTCGGTTTTCCAACTATCCAGGGGAACTAGACAGGGCTGTCCACTGTCACCCCTACTATTTGCTCTGGCTATAGAGCCGTTGGCTATCTTAATAAGGAGATCCCCTAACATAGCAGGATTTAGGTGAGGTAAGGAAGAAGATAAAATAATACCATTCTTCAGAGGTTTCAGGAACAATGTGAAGTATAGTGAAAACTCTAATCAGTGGCGGGTAGGACCGATTTTATTAAGATGATATGGATGCCCCAGGTTTCGAATGTACTATACAATTCCCCCTATTGGATCCCGCAATACCTATTTAGGAGGATGAATACAATCTTATGAGATTTGATTTGGAAAAAAACAATCATGTTTAAAATTGGAAACGTTACAGCATCCAAAGGGGCAAGGGGGACTAGCGCTTCCCAATCCGTGGATATATTTCTGTGCGTCACAACTTTTAGTGGGATTGGGACACAAGGAACATTTATTAGAGGGTATATGGTATTTTCAAGTTCCTGTTTAAAGGTAAAAATCCCCTTATGTCTTTGGAAGTGACATTATATTCAAAGGTGTTTTCTTCTGTACCTAGTATACGGTTAATAGAAAAATTGTGCAGATTGATCAAGTGTTATGGGGGAAATGGTTTATTGTTTTACATGTGGTTTTGGTGCTTAACAACAAGCTTGGGATTCTAACGCTATCATCAGTACAGTTGATCTCAATATCTCCTTCACATAGGTTAATGCAGTTTTTTTTTAGGTTTTAGAGAAGACTCTAGATGCCCAAAATGTGTCCTAGAACCAAGTTTAATACATCTGTTTTGGAGATGCCCAAAATTGAAAAGATGTTGGGTTGAAATTGTGGAGACAAATAATTATATGTATGAAGTTCAGGTTGCTAATAGTCCTTTGGTCTGTATTCTGAGTGTGTGTGAATCCTCAGATATGGATTCTTATACGAGAATGGCCATAATCAAAGCACTTTTTATAGCTTGCCGGATTCTTGCTCTTCAATGGACCTCAGGGCTTCCTCATACTAAGGGTGAATGGATAAAAGAGCTAGATAGACGGGTAGCTTTTGAAAGGGTCACATTTCAACATCGGGGCATGCTGGATAAATATCATAAGATTTGGGGGAAATGGCTTAAGTACAAAAAAGTATCGGGACATAAAAATCCTCTGGTCCTTAGCAGGTCTTAAAATTAGGTAAATATACAACCTCGGATGAACAACAACGCATGACATATTACAACGTGTCATTATTTATTTTACAAACATAAAGCCAAAGTGAAGAAGCCATGTGTGAATAACTAAGATTCAATCACGTTTGTAGAACCACCATTAGGAGCAATAACTTGAAGTAATCATTTTCTATATGACTATCAGTCTCTCGCATCGTTGTCTTTTTTACAGTGTTGCTTCAGTTCATTGAAGTTTGTCGGCATTTGTTATTGCACAGCTCGTATGGTCCCGCCACAGCATTTCAGTTGGGTTAAGGTCTGGACTTTGACTGGGCCATTGCAACATCTTGATTCTTTTCTTTTTCAGCCATTCTGTTGTAAATTTGCTGGTATGATTGTGATCATTGTCCTGTTGTGGTTTGTTCAGATGCAACTTTGCAAACCTAAGCAGCACTGCCATGTTCTTTTTAGAGAGAAGATGATTTTTCCTAGGAACCCTTCCAAACAAACCATAATGTAATGGTACTGTATCATTTAACATACTAACTGAGGCTTGTAGAGTTTGAGTTGTAACTCTTGGGTTTGTTGCAATTTCTCTGTGTATTGCACTGTCTGAACTTGGAATTAATTTGCGACGTCCATTCCTGGGAAGATTGCCAACTGTCTTGAAAGTTTTCCACTTTTGACTCTTCTTCGCTGTGGAATGATGGACTTTTAAATTGTTTGGAAATTGTCTTTTATAACCTTTCACAGATTGATGGGCAGCAACAATTGCTTCTCTAGTATCATTGCTGATGTCTTTTCCTCCTTGGCATTATGTTAACACACCTGAATCCTCCAGACCAGCAAACTGCTAAAACTTCGACTTTTATAGAGGTGGTCACACTTGCTGCTGATCAATTAGTCAAGGGCATTTGATTAGCAGCACCTGGCTGCTACTTAGCCTCTTAATTCCTATGGAAGCAGTAAGGATGTACTTAGTTTTTCACACATTAATAAATAATGACAGTGTAATATGTCATGTTTTCATCTGAGGTTGTATTTACCTAATTTTGAGACCTGCTAGGGACCAAACATTTTTTTTCTATGGCCTGATATGCAATACCATAGAATTAAAAGAGGGTGTACTTTCTTTTTCACATGACTGTATATACGCATCTTTTTTGTGTATATCTTTGATGAGACATATTAATCCTATATTTCATAATATAGTTACTGCTAGTACTAAGAGTAAAAATCACAAACAGTTGCTAGAATGTTATCTGACTTCAAAAACCATTGTTAAATTGCTATTCAAACTCCCAGGAAAGACAGTATTTTAACAGTGATTCTAAAACATGTGTGTTGGACAAAGTACAACCTTTTTTTTCACTTTTAGCCTTCTATCTTGATAGAAGCTGATTGGTTGCTATGAGCAACCTCTCCAGATTTCACTATTTTGCAGTGTGTTTTACAAACAGTCAATATGAAAATGAATTAACATTTTGAACGCCGTTGCTGTGAACCCACAAAAAGCGTTCACTGGAGCTCCCAATGCAAGTGAAACAGGTCAACCTTAGGCTGCAAAAAAAGAAAACAGTGGTGGATGATCATAGGATCCTTTTCATGGTAAAGAAAAATCCTTTCACAACTTCCAGCAAAGTGAAGAACACTCTCCAGGAGGTAGGCATATCATTATTCAAGTCTAGCATAAAAAGAAGACTTCACGAGCGCAAATACAGAGGGTTCACAATGAGGTGCAAACCATTCATAAGCCTCAAGAATAGAAAGGCCAGATTATACTTTGCTGAAAAAATATCTAAAAAAGCCAGCCGGTTCCGGAATAGCATTCTTTGGACAGATAAAACTAACCTGTGTCAGAATGATGGGAAGAAAAAAGTATGGAGAAGGCTTGGAACAGCTCATGATCCAAAGCATACCACATCATCTATAAAACACAGTGAAGGCAGTCTGATGGCATGGGCATGCATGGCTTCCAACGGCACTGGGTCGCTAGTGTTATAGGAGGATATATTGTCTGCTCAGATTCAGCCAAGTTGATTGGACAGCGCTTCATTTTACAGATGGACAGTGACCCAAAACACAAGCAAAGAACAACTGAATTTATAACAATAACGATATGATAAAGCAGGGGGCATGAAGATGCAGAAGCATGGCACCACACCCCTGGTTAATTAGACTACAAAAAACATAAAATAACTACTTGGGGCTTTCCAGGTGCCAAGAACTGAAAGACAATATGTATCTAAAATTCTGTTTTTTATTGATATAAAAAAATTGCCATGTGTCCATTTTGTTTGTTGCGATCAAATATACAATAATAACATACACAGTTGACTGCATTAATATAACAAATAATGTACTTAATTATACAGACTTGATGCGTTTCAACAAAGAGGGATCGAGATGGCGAGTGAAGAATAATCGTCTTATGGTAGCAGAATCAAAATATCCCAGAACACATGTAGAAGGGGTATTAAGCAGGGTGGAACTAAAAACAAGATTGATGATAAATATAACTTTTTCTCAGTATCTAACCAGTTTTGGGCATCTCCAGAGCAGATGTAATAAGAATCCTTGATTAGTCTTACATTTGGTGAACCAAACTAACTTGCGCTAATGGAAATAGTAAAACTAAATTAAGATGGATTAAAATTGATATTAATATGACCCCGGAGCTAAAATTTCTAAAACCAAAAAGGAAAAAACTCAGGCTGAACTCAGGCTAAAAGCCTACAGAATAATGGTGTAATGAAGTGTACAGCGCTAAATGCCCTTCAGGAAATTGGATGACGGTAGGGATCATATGGTGTCACCTCCGTGTCAAGCAATCGTGAAACAGTGTATATATAATAAATATTTGTGTAAAAACTTATAGTACGTTATAAAATGTGTCAACAGGTGTCATAAAAGGCGTGTCATACATGAACCTTATTAAATAAATAAACAAAAATCTTCAAAGAACATGTGTCATATATGTGAAAAAAATATTATTGTGAAAAAAATATTAAATAAATAAATAAACATGTGTCATATATGTGAAAAATAAAAATATCACAATATAAAACAGTCTGTGTTGTTTTCTTTCGAAAATAAGTAGAAGTATGCACTTATAATATAAAAAATGCACCCAAAGTTCTTAAAGCTCTCCGATCTTCAAAACAAAAAAAAAACCAGAAGGATGAGAATAAAAATCAAAATCAAAAGAAATGTCCAATATTATGAAGTGTCCAACGAAAAAACGATAGAAAAAAAAAAGCCGGCAGGTCCCCTATAGGGAATGCACTCACCAGATCCCTGATGGTCGAAAGCCTTTATTCTTATCCAATGGAGGCCGAAGATGTATGTCCTCTTCTCCCGTTTGGTGAAAGCCTCAGGCTACAGAACCCGCTTGCTTCTCCGAGGTGAAGGGATTACAATCTTTGTTGTTAGGTCTCCTCTATTGGGTATCCATCCGGACAAAGAACACAAGAAATGCGCTCATAGCGTAGTAAGTTCAACTTTAATGGGTCCAAAATAATGACAAACAAGCGCTCTATAAAAATTCCCTAAAAATCAATGTGGAAAGCCGGCTAGTCACTCAATCTG